GTATTTCTTTTTTCTAACACAAGACATATATAACTTCTTCACATAACAATTAATATATTTTTAATTTTATTGAAGTGATAATAAAGATAACTATAAAGATAAAGAAAAGTTATCATCAACTGAAATTACAGATTTATTTTTGGACTTTTCTGGCGTTTTTATTCGTCGTTTATTAAACAGACTTGAAGCTTGAAGCATTTTATAAATATAACTACAATCGACAAATTATATTTGCTTGAAATTTTGTATTTGTGCAAAGACCCAAATTGTCTTTAAATTCACACATTACTACGTTCCTCTTACCGTTCTTACTAAGAGGCGGTTTCGACTTTACATTCTACTGGGTTTAATCAGTGAATGTGACCCATTGCCGATCGTGAGAACCGAGGTGGAGATCGGCGTTCGCGGCACATGTCGTGCGGTCCTTTCCAACGACTTCTAATTTGTGGCCATAATATATATATATATATATATATACACACTCGTATGGATAAAGTCTTGCATTGCTCAGAAGCAACACCTGTCTGTCGTTCTTTTTCCGTTTTTTTCCTTTTTTTTTTTGAAACCTGGGAAAGAACGAAGTGAAGTAACGGTGCTTTTAAAGCCACTTCCGCTTTACGACATCAGCTGCAAATTTCTTTCTCGTGACGTAACATATAACACAGAAAAAAAACGGGATTAATACAAAAATATGATGAAATGCAACTGTAACTTTGGTAAAAATTATTCGCGAAATTATATTGATATGATAATTCTATGAAAGAGATATGAAAAAGAAAAGATATTCGACAATAACCGCCGCTTGGAAATTAAAACTTTAGGGAACTTGCAGAAAAAGTCCGTAAATAGCTTCGCGTGAATGAAAATTGCGATGATATCTCCTGTACTATATCAGAAACGCCTCTGTTGCCATCGTAAGAATAAGCGAACAAAAGCGGTATAGCGCTCAACGATAATTTCGTACCACTCTAGGACCAAAAGGACTGAAACTTAATGGCATCATAAATTTCAATCTCCGAGAGCGGATGTTGCTATTAAATATCTCTTCTTTTCGAGACATCTCCTTCTTGCGATCGGGAGCACAATTTTGCAGACCTTCTGTACAAGAAGGTTTTTATTTCATCATATTTATATATGATTCTAAACTTAAGGCTCTTTCTGAGAATTTAACTGATGTGTTTTTTTTTTCCCTTTATCTTGGTCGTTCGATGCGATTTCGAATACTGGGTCATTTGCTAAATATCGTGGAAAATCGAAGACTGTGACGATTTGTGGCGCGAATACACACGCAAAGAGACTCGCGTTTCTCTAATGAATGAGGGCGATATTCCCACGTCGCCGGTTATCGCTGTTTCGTTTAGGGGTCGTCCTATCGAGCTGCGAAGGAAAGTCACCGGCGGCATATGATAAGAGTATTGCGAAATCAATGGCAGAAATGGGGGACGGTGAGGAAGGGCGAAAGGGCGCTCACATCGTCGACGTCGAGGTAGGTCGAGAGGTCACTGACTTCGTGAGAATTTTCGCGCGACCGATGCGCGATGCGAGCCGAGATCGCATTGTCGTCGTCTCGAAGAACATAATCGAGCGTGTTTGAGATATTATCCAATCTCCGGCGTGTTGAAATTTACACAATTCTAAGCGCGTCGATTTAATTTACGCTTAGTCGTGAATATAATACATATTACGATGGCAATCTCTAGTTGCAACAATCAAATATACTTTATATTTGGAATCATTGGGGAAATCAGTTAGTGCACTTGGAATTTCACCGTTATTCATTAATATATTTTTAATTAAATTGATTAAGAAAATTCTGTGACAGTTATAAAAAAAAACTATATTGTGTAGAAATCAGTGCAGTTTGGCGTAATTCACAGGCAGCATTTCAGCGAGCGGTGGGATGAAAAAAACATTAGCGCATACAGTTGATCATGAAATTGGAAAGAACTTGATAGATCGGCAAAATGCCGTTCGAGCGACGATACATTTGCCGCATTAATTTCTAACGAAACTGGTGAAAATGATCACGCGAAGGTCAACAGCGCGCGTTAGGCGACAAAAAAAATACAAAAAAAAAGGGGACAAATTTCGCCCTCGTGAATTATTCAGCGGACATGATTTTACGCATTAACTCCCGCTCGTAACTCTCACTAACACGATCGATCGAATTGTCGCTTTTTGTGCTGCTCGATTCTCGAGCGGCGTAAAGCCGACGGCACACCGCACCAGCCTTGTCAAACAATTTGCAGCACGGGATGCGGAATATATTCATGCGTTGCATCGGATCGATGCGGAACGAAAATCGAGTCCTACCTGATCGACATAACTTTTAATTAGCTCGTAATAACAATGACTGATCGCCCATAATATCGCTCGATCGCATGGCTGCTGTCGAGAATGTTGCAGCATATTGCTCGATCTGTTTTTCGTCCGTGTAAGCGTAATCCGCTTGTTACACATTAACGAAATTCTAATTGAATTGGGAGAGCGAGAAAGAGAGAGAGAGAGAGAGAGAGAGAGAGAGGAAGAAAAAGCACGGGAGAGAGAGAGAGTGCGCACGCGCGCATGTCTATGTGTTCGATATCGTGTTAATTATAATATAAACTCTTGTAGCGAAAATTAATTTTGAGAATTGCGTGATGACGTAAATTCTCAAATTTATAGTGAAATTGCATAATTTGCGTAATCAACATTAGCGGGATTGTCGAGCAGTCAGTTCAATGAATAAATACATTTTATAGGTATTAAAAGACGGTCTAATTAAAACGAACATATATTTCTCGAGAAGAAATGATCATTGTCGCTGAATCATCACAATGCGACTTGTTGTTAGAAACTTGCTCATTCTCGTTTAATTTCACGAGACATCCTTGTTACTAAGTACGTTTTAAAAATTTTAATTTTAAATTAAAGAGAACCCAACAGAAGCAGCGTAACTATTTCTCGTATGAAAATTAAGGAATTAAATATATGATTACGTACATAATTTCTTCTTGAAAAAGTGAATTTTGCCATTATTGCAGTAATTTTGGTCGTTTATTTTTTTTTATGCTTTTTATTGCAATTTTTTAAATAGATCTAGGGATTTTGATAATTTTGTTTCTATTCTCGCGGATTCCACAGTGGCATGTGACCTTGGCTTACTGCCAGACCATGTCGCGTCGTTTCTAAATTCCCTATTGAACGATCACGATGCGCGATTGTTGTTTTACGACTGCGATGTACGTCTCCTTTCCTCTCACTCTCTTGTGCCAGGTGCGTCAAGTAAATTGATGGGAATGACGACGATTAACTTACGCAACGTTCCCCCATTTGCTCGCCCTTTCAAAAGTTTCGACTCCACCGTTACACATTCCATCGTAACGATCGACGGTATCGTTCCATTTTGGCTGGGAAAGAATGTCACTCGGTTTGCTCATAAAAACTTTTCTCGCTTGAAAGTATTATATAAGTGTGTGAATAATGGAAGAAATGACAAAATAATGTGGATAATTTATTCCATTGCGCATTATATTTTTAGATTCTGCGGAGAAGGTCTACTATTTTTTGCGCCCTTTTTGTTGATGTTAGTACGTGGCGAGATAATAATATATCGCGGTAGAAAAGTCGCTAAATCACTGCTAAAATTACCGAGAATGGAAATAACAAGAAAGGGGGAGGGGACGCTCGTTAAAATACCGACAAATTGTTTCGTACTCGTTAGTCGTTTGCATAAATGTATTAACATCGGCTCGCGAAGCAATTTTGCACGAATGCGTCGTATTTCTGCCGCGTGTTACTTCACCGCTTAATAGTATCCTCGTCGCGAACGCGTATCGACCGCGGTGAGTTCTTGTGCGGTTTTGTTGCGCACACCGCGTATGCCACATGGGTGTCGGTTTCGCCGGAAGTTTCGCTTCGTTGCGTGTTTCCGGCTATCTGTTGAGATCCGACAATGGGTATTGCGCGATGCAAAACATTTCGTCCCTGTCCCTCCTCCTTATTTCTTTCGCTTTTCGCGCATACATTTAGATCAGAAGTCATTAACGCCGCGGGAAAGGCCAACGAAAGGCGCGAGAAGAAATTAGTTTAGCAATATCAGGAACAATGGTCTTTTTAGAAAAAATAACATTTTTTTATCACTTGAAAAAATTTTTTTACAATTTTTTATATAACTTAGAATTATAGGTTTTTTTTTACAGGCAATAATTTCAACAATATTTCCATTAGTCCGTGAATTCGCAACTTTGCTGTTCTCGTTTCTCATCGCACGCACGACTTCTCCCATGTACAAAACTGTTTTTCTGGCGGCGGGAAAAACCTTATCAATTCGCACCTTTTGCGATTTTATGTCAGAAGATAACGTATTAAATGGAAAAGTTCTTTGAAGGACAAGAAAGCTCATTATACATCCTTTCGGGCGTCATTGATCCAGCCGCCATTGTAACGTCAATCGTGTGTCACGCGGGCATCGATTATTCAACTCTCGTTTTTCGTCTTTGCAATATCTCTTGAAATAGGTATTATGTATTTTTCAGCATGTGTCGGGAAAAATGATATTCGCCAAAAACAAGCATCTTTTCTGATAGAAATTCGTTGTAGATGATTCGTCAATATTTCTCTTTCCCTCGAGCGATTCTTTAGTCATTTGATTATTTTTACACGAGGCATCTTTAACAGCAAGATATTTATTATTCTACTTATCGGGAAAAGTTGCTTGTCTCAAAAACAATTGCTGACAAGTTTACAAAACATTTTATTCTGCAATATTTGCAGAAAAAGGATAACTATGATTTTCCTTATAATTTTATTTCTTATCTCTCTCTTGTTTCTATATTTTTTAAGCACGAAACATTCCGTGTGATAAACGTTACGGTAAACAATGCTGCAATTATTTTGAGATGTACGATATTAAAGCTTCTGTCGCGAATGTTGTTAATCTAGTAATTTATATCTTTGCACTAAACGAAATTTTCTTTTTCTGCTTTCAGGTGAGTATTGTGGTGTCTCGGCAGCGTACCGTGGAGAAGTCATAAATTTTGCGAATACGAGATTACCGAGTATTATACCTAGAAGGTAACGTATAGGCTTTTACGCTACTTGTCAGTACGAGCTTATTCTTTATGACTTTGCATCATAATCTCGAAGAATGTACCACAATTTCTCTAAGAGCAACCTGAGAAAGCTTTATAAACACCATTCTCGTTCTGTACATTGTAATAATGTTTATATTGCGAGATATCTTTGATGTTACAAAAAAAAAATTATTCTTACAATTCTCTCGCAATTCAATATTCCGATTTCGCTTACGTTACAGTCCGATCGTGAGAAATATTTCAATAAAGGAAAGGAAAATATATTCCAGACAAACAACAAGATAAAATTGTCATAATGATCATTGTTTGCTTGTTTGCAAAATATCGTCGCGAGATTATAACACGAGTCAGTAAAGGACAACTAATTACTTAGATTTGCATTGACTTACCACACTTATTGTTCCGCATCCTATGTAAAATGAGAATTTTGTATGTTCTTATAAAAGAAGTTTTCAATCGCGAAGATCTCTCGGACATTTGGAGAGTTTTATACGAAAGTTTATTACTTGTTTCTATAAATCTAGCATTCCATTTTCAAAATTGTGTTATAATTGATAGAATATAGTCGTTAATAGATAATTCTACGGAGATTAAATATAAAAAATATATATAAAAACATTCGTATTTTTATTATAAATACACTCTAAGAAATATGGGTGTGAATTTAACACCAATGGTGTGAATCGTAACACCCATACCGGTGTGTATATAATTCTCACCGTGATGGGGTGAAATCAACACTGTCTGCTTGGTGTGGAAAATTCACATTGTTGCGGTGTGAATTTCCTCACAGAAGACGGTGTGAATCTTGACACTACTGGCGGTGTGATTTTTTCATGAAATATGGCGTTACTTTGTTTGCTAGGCTATTACCATCATTAAAAGAAATTTTACAAAAACAAAATGTACTAGTCAAAAAGCAAATATTAATTTATTAAGCAGTGGAGCGTAAAAATAAATCTGATAGCAAACGAACATAATACAATAAATCTTAGAATATCAGTGATCTTTACTGTTGCAAAATAAAAGAAATGAGATGTTTCTTTATTTGTAATGAAGCAATTAATCTCAGAACCCATACAGCACACATGTCCAAAAGCGGAACGTAAGACGTCCCGATTTCGGACATGGTATGCTGACTAGGAAACATTCAACTGATGTATATCACGTGAAGATTCTGATTGCCATGTTTTTGTGTTACACTGCTTAATATTATTAATATATATTTGTAACTTGAAACACTGTATAACTTTACCTCTAACGATGAATTCTTCTGCTGTATCACTCGTATTTAAGTGGACGAACTTCTTCACGTTATGGTACTTTACCTTAATAAGCATATTGTCGGGCTGATATATCCTCTTCGATAATACACTGATTATTACAAACACTTGAATAATTCGACGAAAAGGAAGTCCTATACACTTTCCCGTATGTAACGATGACGCGAACACGAACTAATAACCTGGTACACGATACACGATAACCTAAACGTGTAGTCGCGTGTCGCCTCGTCACACCGCACGTTGTGAAAACAAAACAATATAGCATCAAAGTTTGACATCGCGTTTTCGGTGTGAAAGATTCTCAACAATTTCGGTGTTAAAATTCACACCGAATTGTTTAACTACATGGGTGTGGTGAAATTTCACACCGATATTTTTTAGAGTGTATGATAGACTTCCAAAGCTACACTTTACAAAAGATTTTATAATAATCACAACTATATATCTAATCCTACTCTGCCTTTCTACTGATATATCTGCACGTCATAGAGGGCAATTAATCTCGCAATTAATACCGCGCACGTTATCCGCCGCAGGGGTTATCCAAGGGGTTATTCTTCAGGAAAATAACGCCGTTAGATAGATCTCTAACGAGCATCTTCGGCGATATGGCAGACAGGGATATGTTAATAAATTCGCTGGCAATACTGTAATCCCGCGCGCGACGTGAGCTTCAAGTAATTTATCGCATCTCTCGAAGTACCTGTAACATGTAGATTTTTATGTATCAAAACGGTCTTTCGAACATTAAGTGTACGGTCGTAATCCAGTTCAACGCATCGAGCTGAAGATTTTATGACGCTCGCTGTGTTTGAGAACCGCCGCGATATAAACGCGGCGCCAATCGAATCGACTACTAATTTAAGAAATCGTAAATGACGGGAGCTGCTGCGATGCTGCCTTTCTACGAGGCGTGTAAGATCGCGGAATAGCGGAATAGCGCTGCCGCTCGTGTTCGACGCGTGTGGTTAGAATCAAGCTATTATTTCCCTCGCAGATCTTCCGGAATCCGAATAACTCCGATCTATTCATCGGGAACCCACCTTTCCGCGAGGCTCGCGCGGCTATACGTATGTATTATAACTTATTACCGATCGGCGTTACTCGAGTGACTCACGCGATCCCTCGCGTCGTCCGGCGATAATTCATCGCTACGAGTTGTCGGTTGCAAGGTGCATGCCTTCTCCCGCAGGCGCATAAATACGTAAATCGCCGCGCTGCTGCAGTATTTCCGGATTAATCTCGCGCTCGACGGTTAATACACGCTTAGGATACCGTGGCGAATGCGGCCCGCGGGCTGTTCTTTACACAAATTATACGATAACGCAGAAAAGTGAATGGAAGAGCTGACGGACGCCCCGAAGATGAAAAACTTCGAAAAGTTTTTTCCTTCTTGCTGTACAAAGACTTACGTGCGAAATAAGAAGAGGCGACTCGGTCGATCTCTTTCGCAATTCGAATCTAGATATTAAAATTTATACATGTCATCGGCTCGTATAATTTGCATGTCATTTTTGTAACGTTTGACAAATTAATTTTATATTACTTAAAAATTATATTACGTGATCCTTTCTTGCTGTGTCTTATTACTTTTAGTTTAGCGAAGAAATTAGATTGCATAACAATGTTTCCTCTCCTTAATATGTCCATCGTTCACCGTTATCGAGTTAAGATAACCAGATGGGACAGGAAATTCGCGCGTGGGTTTCTCAATACGGTAAATTTTCTCACGGCGGTTTTCGTGATCAAGAGGTCCGTAGGCGGGCGGGGAATGAAGAAAATCGAAGGTCGCGTAGGGAGGTGAATATAATGTCTCCGGACACGAGAGTGGCGAGTGTACAGGGAAAGCAGCACCTACGCGATATGTGCCGACGTTCTAAAAATACGGGCTTATTTTAGCGAGGAGAGGGATGTACCCGCGTGAGAACGACATGCAGCGGCCGAGTATACGGGCTGCTGCTTAAGCAGGAAGGTCACAAGAGCGAGCTGCGAGATTGCGCTTTCATCCGAAAGAAAGCACGAACACGAAAGATATTGCCTGTCAATGAAGAGATTACATCTCGTGTAGACTTGACGAGCGCGATGCATCGTAAGCAGGAACGTCACGAGTTTATTAGATGCGCTTCTCTCGCATGTTTGAGGATTTTTGAATGTTATCTTTAAATTTAGAACTTTATCGATTAGCGTGACTTGTCAATCCTTTTCGAGTTATTCAACTAAAAACTAAACAACATTTCCTAATAGAATTATGTTTTATCATTGCAAAGAAACTAATGTCTAGGAGAGATTTCGAGGCTATCACAGCCGCCGGTATCACAACCATCTCTCCGAGTCCGACGATACTCACTGACAATGATATCGATCGTGTGGATCGCGTGCGTTGCGCGATTCTCTTGTCCCCGCGTAGGGTAGGGACATTTGTCAGCGCGTGTGGCGCCGGGCGTCGGGCGCCGCGACGCCCCCTCCGACAGACGATGAAGAAAGAAATAATGGAAAGTAGACGAGCGCGTCGCAGCGTTTAATTATTTCTACCACGGTCCCAGACGTGAGCGACCGCAAAAAATTAAAATTTTCCCCGACAACGCATGGCTGTCCTCTGTAATAAACGTGATAGGCCGAGGGCAAAATTTTCGTTTTCCAACATAATTACATTTCTAGCAATAAGAGAAAGGAGACGTAAGTTTTGCCGAAAAACATTTATGCTGAATTTGCTTATTTGTTTACAAACTTGAAGTTCAACTTAATTAGCTTTATTAAAAGAAGATATTAAAACCTATGTATTATTTTGTTATATATATTCTTGTAATGCAATATATAAATTTTTTTATAGGAAATCTATAAAATCTATTTTTTATTTTTTATTTAGAGACACTTCTTTCACACACGAACCGTTCAATTGCGCAAAGATCGAACTTTTTGAAAGTACGGTATAACTGCTCATCCAATTTTCGATCGTCGGAATCCCGTGCTGTTAACGGACGCTGATCTCGTTTCCGGCTGTTCGGCTTTCTCACCAATCAGTACGTCAAGCTAATTTTAGCCTCTATCGATTCCCACCTGGTAGAATTCGGGCTGGCCTTTCGTCCAAACGCGATGGATGATACCGCATTTAATATTGGCGAATGAATTGTGCATCGCGGAAAATCGGCTAGGGCGAGGAACCTAATTGCATTATGAATACTTCTCTCGAAAATGGAACATTCTCTTGGTAACAGTATCCTTACTGTAAGAATACTGTCGATATATTGATTGACAATTAGAAATTATTGTACGCAAAATTAGCGCACATTATTTTCTGCGGAATACAAGCTTAAGAATGCATGAATTCTCGTCCAATATAACATCAGATGCTGTAAAGAGCAACGTATGCTTACATCTTACAAGTACGAAATTCTAGAATATTAAATCGTAAATAAATCGCGATTGCATCCTGGAGTCTTGGAATTTTCGAATTTTGAAATTTTAATATGAATCTTGTATCTTGTGGAAACTGTAGAACTTTAGAACTTCACAAAAGCTTGGTACTTCAATAGGTTTCAAAGGTTACGGCACTTTGAAACGATGTTCGGGACAATACTAACTTTACAATTTCGAAATTTTCGATATAGCGCATTCCGCGTGTATAACAAAGAAACAAGATGTCTCTTTCGATAGAAGGGATAAATTGCATCATCAATTTTTGTTAAGAAAGTCA